GAAAGAAGCTGACATTGTTTTTTCATTAATGGAAACTCCTCTGCCTCAGTAAATTAAGCTCCACTGGAAGGCACCTGCTCACTTCTTTTCCCCAAGCGTTTCTGATGCGTGACTCGGATGGTATTCCATATTGTTGAGACAGTCACTATGATTTGTTCATTAACTTTGTCTGTGAAGCAGCAGACTGAGTGATGGTTGCTGTAAAGAAACCTTTACATGCTGAACAGTTTTTTTGTTTTAGCGGGACTCTCAGAGCTGCAAGCCATAATTGTCACCCTTCTGTCGTCTCCTGGCGAAGGCGGTTCATTTGTTCCTTTGCTTCTCTTAATCTTCTTCTCTTCGCTTCTCATCCCTTGTTGTTACTCTGAATCTTCTGCTTTCTGGCAGACATTTGTCAAACCAACATCACCTTTTCCACATTTACCTCAAGATTTCCATTTTAAAACTTTACAAATTACCTCAGCAACCATTCCTGATTTCTTTGAAGGCTTGGATGGCATTTACAGATCCAGAAAAATTCTAATACGTCTTTTGTCTCCAGAAGTTGATTCTGGACGTAGCGTAGCGTTTTCAGTGTTTCTACGTCCAGATGAACAGAATCAACTTTTGGAGATTTACTTACCTGGATGATTCAGCATGCATCAAGAAATGTGACTTTTGGTTATAATTTGAATTTTAAATTGAAAATGAATCCAATGATCAGATTTCTTTGACTTTCTTGACCACACCCCTTCTCCCCAGAGGATGGAGCCTATACATTTTGGAGCCTCAATCATCTGTTCTCATTTGCAGCATCAAGACTTCAGCTTAACATTTTTTGATGACAAACCCAATGACCTTTCTTCTAATAGCACCTTAAGGCCATGCAACTGTTTAATTAGCTTCCCTGTTGTTCAGTCAATCCATTACTTTAATACTTGAAGTTGTAGTCATTGTTGCAGACTCTGAATTTTGGTCATCAGTTCATCTCTCTCTCTTTCCAGCTGACCCTTTCTGTACATCTCTTCTACTATTTCCTAATGATCACCTGCCTTAGGCCACTTTTTTGTGTAGGCGCTTGTGTTTTCGACGTTTAAATTTCAGGCTTTAGGGGAAAACTTTCAAAAGATCAATGGTGTATATGTGTGTCTTCGTAAGATGAAGATATTCCATGAACACACATCACTGAATCTTTAATTTGGCAGTACATCTGTCATTTATGTTTGTGTGTCGACTACATGCTGCCACAAACTGCTGAAGTGGCACATTTCAGCAGATGGTAGAAGATACATGCATTTGCATACAGAATATCGTATCTACATTACACATAGTATTTTTTGCCATTATGAAATATATTTTTTAAAATCCCAGATGCGCTTTTTGTTCCCTTTACATAACCTTTACCTAAATATCAATTCTAATATATTAACTCTGAAGCTAGACTAAAGGACTAGGGTAAGATTTACTAAAGTTCCTAAACTTTAGGCGTAGAAATCATAGAACAAAGATTAAGAGCATATCTGACAAGAAAATTTAAAAACATACTTAAGAGAGATTTCAAACTATTTTTTTCTTTGTGGAAAAATGTTTGTTGTGTGATCATTCAGGCGCGTTTAGCCTGTCAAAAACACTGCACTACACAACTGCATAATTACAGCCAGCAGATGTGATGGGCCAATTAACACAGCACACACATGCTGTTACTGTGCCGACACCTGCTGGCATCGAGACAATTTGCCAGGAGAGTCCCAATTTGTCTGTCCATTTGTTCTCTAAAGACATTTTCCTACAATTTAGAATAATATACACACAGCAGGACTGAAAGGAAGTACTTAGCATTTGTCTTCTGTACAGACATAATACAGGACTGCTTGATTTGTACTCAATCAAAGATGAACAAATGCCAACCATTCTGTTTTAACTATAAAGGGTAAATTTATAGTTAAAACTTTTTTTTTTTTTAAATCTGCTTTTAGCTTTGATGCTGTCAATGAGTCAATAATCAATAATAATGTTTCAATATACGAGCTCTGTCATGATCAAGAACCTTAAAGTTTACGAAATAACTTTGATAGTTTTTAACATTTTACTAACGAACCACTGTTTTTATCCACTGCTAAAGTTACAAAACAAAAAAGAAAAGTAAAAGACAGTGTCGTCATAATCTGACACACGCATAGTTTTGAAATAGGTTCCATTCAGAGAGATGCAGTTCAACAGGCTGCTGTATAGATTGATATAAACCTGCGTCAGCTGCATAGGGAGAGAATAGTAGTAAATGACATAATTTTATTGGTCTTGTGTGTGGGATTAAAGTAGCTCCAGGTAATTAGTTATCCTGCAGTATGGAGATCCTTTACAGCCTTTGTGATGCTTTCCATGTTCACAACTCGGCTAGGCTCCACTCGGGTCCCAATCATCAGAAAGCGAGCTCAAGGATACCTTTTTGTTTTTGTTGTTAGTCTGCTTTTTGGAGTTGGCCATTGAGAAACCACATTACGACGGGCCAACTGCACATGCATCCCAGTCCTTGTAGAAGAAGCAGAACAAGTATAACTACACTGTCAGTGTCTGCAACTGATTCTTGTTGAGTTTTGCTTTAGATTTCATTATGTGTCTTTAAGTATTTGCGATATTACAGTGTTTTATCATTTTTTCATTTTCATTTTTCATTTTAGTTTTGGTTCATGTCTTCATGTTTAGTTGTTTTAGTTTCCTCAGTGTTGCCTCGTCTGTTCCTCTTTCTGTTGGTGCCTGTCCTTCTGCGTCTGTTATCAGGTTTAGTGTGAGCAGAGTTCAGCATACCCCAGCTATCTTTCTGTTATCTGGATTCACTGAACATTGGAAATCAAGATAAGCAGTCATACAAAGCTGCTTATCAACTCGCTAAGTTAACTCTGGGTTTCTCTGCACGTTCACATGAAAGGTGTGGGACATCTGACTACAACTACGTCACCAAATTGAGACACGAGAGAATCAGATGGCTTAAAATCAAGCATTTCATTAAGTTTATATTTAAAATAGAAAATCATTTTGTTTTTTGCTCTTTCAGCTGCAGCCCTGGTAGTACTTAGTGGTCAGAGTAGATCATCAGAATTCAAAGTTATACTTAGTCTACATGCAAATTTAAAATGAAGATCTCTAAGCGCAATATAGGTGTACTGTTTGAGGACCAGATTTTCTGAGAACCGAGGGAAAAAAAGTCTTCCCATTGAACATTTCTTCAATTTCCGTCCTCTTTGGCACTAAAACAGAATACCCAGACTCAGGAGATATCAATGGAAAGCCCAGGATGTCCTCTATTAAGCACATCAGGACTTAGTAGGGTAGCTCAAATAAGTCAAAAGATATTGACGAAAAACAAATGTCCATTACACAGGACAGAAATGAATAGGCTGGTTCTCAGAAGGGTATATCAAGGCTCAAAAAAATAAACATTTTGTAGATTTTCAGGCAACACAAATAAAAATCAAGGAATAGAACTGAGTCAAAGAATCTCTACTTTTTACTGATGTTCATCAGGGAAATGCAAAGACATTACAGTGTTGAATTACACTCTGAATTACACTCCTACCATCCACACACGAGGTCTTCCAGTAATAGTGACTGCTGTTTTCCATAAAGTTAATTGGTCAGTAGGTGTTGATTTTGCACCAATTGCTCCCTAACCTGAAAAATAACCTGAGCAGGTTAGGTTTGCAGCAAAAACTACCAAAACAATATACTCCAGCACGAAGTGAGCCACCTTCATTGTAGATAAAATGGGATTGAACATGACGTTACCTGGATAAAAAACATCCTGCTTTGTAGTCCAGGTCTCTCGTCTCCATTTTGGTTTGGCTGTGAATTCTCTCGTTTTTTGTTTTTTTTCTGGTTTCTACTTAATGTTTGTCTAGTTGTTCTCACATGTGGCGGTTTTCACGTGTTTCCCATTTTCTTCCCTCTTCCCAGTTAATTCCCTCAGTCGGTCTTGTCCTCCGCCTTGTTCACTCACCTGTTTTCATAACATTGGGCGCCTATCACTATAGCCTGAGTTTAGCTTCCTGTGCTTTGCTAGCTTTTATACTGTTTAGCAGTCGTTCTGCAGCATCTTTTGTCAACATACAGCTTTTGGTTCTCTGTCACTCTTAAAGCATGACAGAATAGGTGTAATGCTCATTTTTAAAATATAGTCACTATGTTTGCGTTTTCATTAAAAACAACATGGGCATCTGCCTTCACGTGCATTGTTCTCAGCCAGTGTTGTCTGAATGTGAGAGGTGGCTGCTGAGCAAATGTGTCACTTTAGAAAGATATCATATCAGCGTACCTGGATGCCACATCACAGCATCCTCTTCCATCTGTAATTTCCCCTGAGTGAAGCTAGCCCTTCCTAAGTCATTACAGGCACACTTGGCTCGGAGCTTCAGAGTAAACAACAAAGTCGAATAATCTTGTGAGCTTATGTTGGAGGTGTTAGCTGTGAAGACTGCCCCCTCATTTCCTCCTCTTCTCCTTCTGTCTAGGGACAGATGTCATAGCTTTAAAGCAGATTGCTCTTTCCTCGACGAGTGTCTTTGGTACAGCAGTATGTACACATCCGTATGAGCATCTTAGCCCAAAGGGGAGCCGAGGTCTCCTACAGAGTACCATCTAACGATGCCTATCTGTTTTTCCCAGCCCAAACCTTTCAGTCTCTTATTTTGTTAAAACTACATCTTCTGCATAAGATGTAATTCAGCTGAGTGCACCTCACTCTATAAGAGTCTATAAGAGTAAACAAGAACAAATGACTAACTTAGCATTCATAAGAGTGTGTGAGGTTATGATGTGCTTTCATAATGTCTGTGACTGGTGATTGTGGCTATGAAATCCCAAGGAACATTTATAGAAGCAAATTCCATGCCAGGAATGTGTCCTTCATTGAAGGTTTATGAAATCCTTGTACTTATGTAAAGAGTTAATTACCCTGACTTTATTTGTTTCAAATTTGAACTTAGATTAAGCTGAAGTCACTAAATTGCCTTTGTTTTTGTTCTCAGTTGTCGGGCAAGCAACAGGAAGAGCCTGATTGTCACGTCCAGCACTTCGCCCACCTTGCCACGGCCACACTCACCTCTGCATGGACACACAGGTAACACACACTCCTTTATATAAACTGCCTTTGATGTTTCAAACTATAGACCTGATATACTCAATACTGTAATATCATCAGTATCCATAGTACCAGTTTCAGTAGTCCAAATCCACTCTCACTGGTAGCATAGCAAGAGTTGCTGAATAAATTATGATGAAAAGGTGATAATTTAGGTGTTGTTTAATTGGAAACTTTGACTCTGCTCAAATGTTGTTGTTCTGCTAAAAGTGTGTAGTAACAGCAGACAAGTTGCATTACATGGAGTCGTGTTGTTTACAATCACACACCAACAAAGCTCAATTAACAGCTCCGGTAGCACACTGAGATCGCACAGTGAGATGTTTGTTTGTGTGAATGAATGCACAGGCTGACATACGGTCAGCTGCCGCAGACAGACTTTTATTTTTAACACTTATTAATAACCATTGTTTTTTATAATGATGCTTTAGCTAATAGTTTGTTGCTGTTGAATATTTAGTACTTTTAATGTTCATCCATTGGTTACTAATTAGTTTGAAATCTGAAATAAAAAAAATACTTCATTGTTTATTTTCTTTATTGTAAAATTGCTTCAGGGTTTTAACAAAAGCATTTAAATGCCTGGGTAAGTAAAGAAAGTTTTATTTTAAAATGTAATCTTTCTAAATAATAAGCAAATAATATTAGCAAGATCTTCTCCGATTTTAAAGTAATTTTCTCTTATCTGTATAATATGAAACATATTTAGAAAATAAGTATTTTTTTGTTAAACAAACCTACTCCTTAAATAAATGTTGCCATTATTATTGATTAGTAAATATTATTATTTGTAATTTAACACAATGTTACTATAATTAAGATGAAATATTTACTTCATCTTAATTATTGTATCGATTGTTACCAATGCATTACTTAGATTTTCACACTTTTAAAACTGACATCATCAAGATATCGTTACAGTAATGCAAGACAGAAGACAGACTGATGGTTGTCTTTGCTGACTGGCTTGAGTTTGTATGCATTCCTGCAATATTTGTATAGCTTTAAAAATCACTGAAACATATGCATATATGCTGAGCATGCAGGTGATTATTTTGTTACAATACAATGTTCTTCTGGGAAACCTCGGGTCGAAGGCATTCATGCGAATGTCACTTACCGTTACTCCCACGAACACACTGCTGAAGACGAGGCACAACTCTCATAGGAAGAGCAGTTGCTGATAACAGAAGGATAGTACGTCGCACCACACCTTTGCTGTTCTTTGCTATTTTCAGGTTACAAAGAAAAGAGTCTGAAGTGGCTCAGTCTCCAGACACCTTACTTCATAATCTGACTGAGCCTCTGTGAGATCCACTCGCTCTGAAATCCACATAACACAGAGAATAACGTGTCAGCATCCAGTTCCCCAAACCCATCCAACAACTCCCTAAAGATCTTGAATCCATGTCCCAACTGTTTTTGGACAACAGGCGAGTCCCCAATATGGGTGAATTTTTTTTTTTTTTTTGGATAGTGTATAAATTTTCTGGACTGTATAATCTGAGGGCACTCTTGCACAATTAGCAGTAGTTTCTTGACAGAATTTTGATTGCTTAATCTCATCAGATAAAAAGAAGCCAAGCACCTTGACAATAATTTTGCATAACCACTGATTTGCTGGGTGACTTAGATTTGCCAAATTTGATGAAGTGGAAGCAGCTTCCCAATGATTTTATGTGCTTTAGCCTTTTGTAATGTGCTAGAGCACATAAAATCATTGGGAAGCTGCTTCCACTTCGTCAAATTTGGAAAATTGGTATTGCATTTTCTTGTCTCCCTGTGTAAGGTCAGTGTCTATAACTTTAAGCTGATCTTGCAGCAGGAAATACATCGAGATGAGATTTTGCCTTGATCTTTGACAAACTGACACATTTATAGAAAGAAAAATATTTCACCCTTATCAAATACTCTTGAAATACTCCTGAGAAGAAGCAGGCAAGAGTCACTTCAAAAGGATTCCACCCACCATGCCATCATACGTACGTTCGCTATGAAAAAGTGTGTGTGCTGATATTAGAAGCTGCATGCACACACACCAAATGATTCGATGAAATGTGTGCTAACAAAATGTCTTCTGAACACATCTGACAGGAAGACAAGCGCACAAACCCACCAACCCACACACCCACCCATCCTCTCCTCCACCCTTCGAATGTATAGATGGAAAAGAGATGGAAAAAAGAAAAACTATGATTGATGGTGCCTGAAGGGGACTGAGTGAAGGAATCAAAATATAGACTGAAACAGCAGAATGGAAAAGGATTATTGGTGGCAGTAACTGAATGGGAGGAGAGAGAGCGAGAGCTCAATGAATATGAAAGATGGAAAGATGGTAAAATATTGAGGAGAGAATATTAAGGAGAGGCTGCGTGACACAGAGAAACACTCATTACAATGTTGTGTTTGCCCTCACAGATAGTGGTAGTAGTGTTTCTTTGGGTGGGTGACATCGCCTCAAAATTATATTGGCAATAACAATATTTCGGACAATATGGGAAAAAGTTTTCTTAACACTGTAAAATAAACTTAAATTCCAAAAAGTTAAATAACAAACAGCAACAATTAAAATTTTAATAGCGTTTTAAAATTTAGTGCAAATAAATTTTGCAAACATGCTAAATCCAGCTCAGTTAAAGACTTTTACTGCACAGTGCTGGTTTATACTGTTTAAACAAGTATTGTTTGGTCAGTCAGTCAAATGAAGTTTAAAAGCCACTTTGTAAATGTAAAGTTTATTTTTGCTCTTGTAACATTCTTTCTCAGACACTGATCTCAAACCATTTTCTGAAGCCACCAAAATATATATTTAAATATTGATATCCTGATACTGATTTCATAAACTACTCATGAACTATGAAACACAGGCTTAGAGCCAAGCAATCAGCGAGCCTTTGCTACTGATGGGAGCTTTGTCATCCTCCACTCCCCACAGCATAGCACAAGCACTGTTTTATTTTGGCACCAGTCTATTGTGTGACTGGCGACCTTGGTGTCAGTGAATGATCATTTATACAAGAACTGCTGTTCACCATAAAGTAAATTGCTGTCTTCCCTGAATATCAGCTGAATATCTATAGGTTGTAGTCCTGTGGTTAGTGTATGGTTTCTGTTCTGACTAAAAGGTGCACACATTCTACTTGTATGCTGAAGCACTGATCTGTTAATCAGATTTTCCTGTATTTCATTATATTGTGAAATGACACAGGAACAATACTGTGATGGCTGAAGTTAGCAAAAGACAATGGAAAGGGTTGGAAATAAAAGACATGTTGTTTTTGTTTTTGAGAGGGGGTTTTAAACAGTTTTTGGCAGCTCACTGAGAGGATAAAAAAGAAACATCTAATTCACCATCATCCATCCATCTTCATCCGCTTTATCCGAGGCCGGGTCGCGGGGGCAGCAGCCTAAGCAAAGAGGCCCAGACCTCCCTCTCCCCAGCCACCTCCTCCAGCTTATCCGGGGGAATACCAAGGCGTTCCCAGGCCAGCCGAGAGATATAATCTCTCCAGCGTGTCCTGGGTCTGCCCCGGGGCCTCCTCCCGGTGGGACATGCCTGGAGCACCTCACCCAGGAGGCGCCCAGGGGGCATCCTTGTCAGATGCCCGAACCACCTCAGCTGGCTCCTTTCGATGTGGAGTAATTCACCATCATACATTACTTATTTGACATGATGATTTTCTTTTCATAGTTTCATATCTGACTGGATAGATGTCCTACGGGGCATCTGCAGTGTGTAGAAGTGATCTGTGGTTGCCTGTTTGTATTCACAGTGTGGTTTGCTGTTACTAATACTGTACACTTCTTTTGCTCCATTCTTCTATCTTCCCTTCCTCCTCTCCATTTACATCTTCCAGCTACTGCATTGCCATGGTAACTGTGCCACTAGTCCTGCAGTGCTGTCTATGTGTCCTAGACCCTGCGCAGGAATTAAATACCTCTAATTAAACAGCACTAATTAAAGATGCTGTTTTTCATTTTCTGTCCTGTTACACTTTGTTTAGTTTGAATCTGTTTACTTGAATAATGTAAATTTTGGTTTCATATCACGTGTGAACACAGCTCCACGCTTCCACTGTAACTGTCTAATCCAGGCTGTGATATCTCATTGTAGACACGAACTGATTAATATGAACCACTGGAGGTTAAGCCTTGTCCTTTCGTTCCCTTTTCCTCCTTCTCAGTCTCTCGCTCTTGCCATAATCCTGAATTTCATCATAGTTTCAATCACCAAGCCATTTGCTGCTAATCAGATGGAAATTCTTCAGTCTAATATCCTGAGGGTCTGATGAGCACCAATCCTCTCCAAAAAAAAAAGACTTATTAAATGTTGGAGGTCTGCATGAATTCCTTGTTGCCTCTCTCATGATCTCTTTTTCTCCTCTCTTGATATTTTTGTAATGTTTTAACATCAAGCTTCATTTTCTCTTCTCTTCTCCCCCATTTACTCACACAGAATATCTCCATCTTTTCTATTTGTTTCACTTCACCAGCCCGTAGTTTCCGCTCTCCTGGCTGACAGAAAGCTGTTATTTGGTAAAGGTCAGCTTGTGATTGGCAGCTATACGCTCTGAGTCGAGATGAATACTGTCAAACCACTGCTCATTTTTGCAATTGTAATGAAGGACTGCAAGAAAGATGGCTTTTCTTTTGTTCAGTTTCATGTCACAGACTCAAAGATAAATATATTTATACATACATATGCATGTATTGCACATTTCTTTTTACCCCTTCCCCAATTATTTTGATTTCCCCACCTCGTCTTCACCGGAGAGGGAGCAGGCAAGTGAAAATGAAGAGCCACAGAGTAGATATCACATTTGCATGTATCTGATATGAAAGCATATGTCTTGGTTTTTGCTAAAGTAGGTCACTGTCACTGCAGTTTACTGCAGGAAACCTAAAAATGTGACAGCAAAGTAGCTTCTATATATGGTGTGATGAGACTTCTTACTACATGCACTCAGTTATAATTTACATTTCACTTCACTTTTTCTTATTCAGGTGCAAAATTCATGCCACAGTGTTTTTTCATAGATTCCATAGTGATTTTTCTTTGGAAACTATTTGATTGTGGCATAATTATAACTGACTGTGGTGTCAGTTGAGACTGCACGATCAATAGATGGACACATTGCTGCTATTTCACTTTACTGCAGTACTTATAAAGACACACATGGGAGATCCACAAAGCATAGACGTGATCTTAGATCAGGTCTGTTTGAGTTTTCAAGTCGGCTCTAATCTCTGTCAAAAAACGTGGAGAGTTCAGTCCAAAATACTTGCGAGCCATCGACTCAGCACTCGTGATTTGCATGTTGTGTTGAACATGTCAGTAGGGCTGCCACAAACGATTATTTTGATAGTCGACTAGTCACCGATTATTTTTGCGATTAGTCTACTAATCAGATCATACATCCATTGGAGTAAAACTACAGCTTATTGCACCAGCAGCATCTGCTCTTATATAACTATCATTAGCTTACAGCTTTAAGTGTTTAAGGTATGTGCTAACTAAAAATAAAGACAAGATGATAGTTTATTAAATTTTAATGAAATTTGCAGATTGTTTCGGTGAAGTTTAATAAACTCCTTGCTATCTAAAATATAACAGGACACCGGAGTATATTCTGGAGCATCTCACACTTCTGATAATCAGCTGTCTGCTTGACGTTTATTCAGCTGTGTAAAAACTATAACTTTAATCTCAGCCAAACCGATTTACTCAGGAACAAATAAAATACTAAAAAAAAGCCAAACATTAACATTTGTAAGTTATCTAAGTGACTCATATATGTTTAACCGGAGTAGCAAAAGACGGCGGTGGGTTTGAAAATGATTTGCAGGGAGTCCGGTGTTCTCACGGCTCTAGTGAGCCTTGCCCCCGCCTAGCTATCGAGCTAGTGGGTAACAGACGTCTCCGAAAACGTCGGAGCGCTTTTGAAAATATGTGGTGTCTTGATAAACTGAGCAGATATTTGAGGTTTGCACAGCTACATTCTCACCTGAAAATATGTTAAATGTTTATTTTGTGACCCAGAAAGAATAATAAGAGTAATATTATACTAACTAGCTGCCGCCATTGTTGGAAACTGAGCTGGGCTGCGCTATGAATTCTGGGACACAGCTTCTTCTTCTTCTTCGAGGTTTAACGGCAGCTGGCATCCTTGTACATGCAGTGCTGCCATCTTCTGTTTCAGTCTGTTATTACACTCTTAAATCCTGCTACTTATTCCTGCGTCTTTTGTGATCTTACAAAGCTTCAAACGACGCGTCGACTATTAAATCAGTCGTCGACGATTTTGATAGTCGACGTAATCGTGGCAGCCCTATATGTCAGTAAGTCCATTAGCTCATGGACTTATAATTGTGAAGGTGTTAATACACACGAGTATTAAATACATATCAATATATTATTTGGCAAAAACCTGCAGGTGCTGTGACTGTCTTCCCCATAAAAGAGGATACCACAGGCTGGGAGAGCAAATAGCGAAGGAATGTCTAGTTTTTATGTTTCATGACAATCTGTTCGGTCTTTGGTGATTTAAAAAAAGGATTAAAGTGACTTTCTTTTGTGGTGAAACACTGCGTGACTGCGTGTCCTGTGCGTGCATCTGGTACTCTTGTCATCAACCTATGAGCACAAACACATTCTCGTGCAAAAACGTCTGAGGAGACCTAACCATCCTTTCTAAACACAAACACACCAGTTGACCCATCGCTGATGCGTCTGATTTCTCTTTGCTGAGAGAGATGGATCTTAAATAATGTCCGCACACACAGTTCTAAGTATAGTATAAAATATGAACAGGGAGGATCGGTGCAGTGGGTGAGCCTGCTAACAGCTCCAGGGACAACTCCATGTCCTTTTAAATGCAACTTCAGCAGCATCCTTGCAGCCATACTACATCATGTATAAGACATTTGACACAAGTAAGATGTACACTAACAAGCAATCTGTCTGACTAATAACCTACCTGTTCACTCCAATATGTGCATACATGTTCTGCACAGCCAACTAGACAGACAGAGATTCCCATCTGACGGCAAGCAAATGCTCGCATTAATATTTGAGTTTCTGCTCTGTCCAGACATTCTGCGGAGAAAACTGCATAATTGATGTGGAAATGTCCGACTACTTAATCTCTCCTCCTGTTTTTGAGGCAGCCAGCCGTTCCTCTGCTATTCATCTGTGTTCACCCTTTCTTCCTTCAGCCTCATTCTGCTGAATTATTATCAGAGTGCTGTTTCTCCCTGCAGATACTGACCGTGAATATCCATTCCACTGCTTTTGCTCGGATATGTCAGCATATTTAATTAAAAAATGTCAGCTTTATTAAACAGAGGATCATCTGTGACTTCTGTGGCAATGGCTGCATTATGAGCTTCACAGTCAATTCAAGCTGTTCTGGAGATATTTGGTGTTCAGTGAAGAGAAATGTTTCCCTTCTGTGTTGAAGTTGAAGCAGAAATTGAGTGTTTGTGTCCCCAGTTTCTCAAACTAAGTTATTGTTTAGCTACTTACACGTGATTTTGTTTGGGGAAGCTGTTTTTTCTTCCCCTTTATCCAGTTAAAAGTAACTAACTCACTGATTTCCACAATCATTATATGATGTGTTATCAGTGTAAGTGATATAAAAGGAGTTAACTGAACTGCATTCATTTATCTTTGTATATTTTCAGCAGTGTAATAGTAAATGTAAAAAGCAGGTGGTTCACCTACTTTATCTTAATCTAAAATTTTAACTCCACCTTTCTGTGTGATTCAAGAAGACAGACGAGTCATTCCTTTAAGCTCTTTACCTTTTACTTTCCCCTGTGTGCTCGTTCACTTAATGAGACACTCAATCAGGTTGTGAGAGAGCCCATCTTCATTCCTCTCTGTCTTCTATTACAGCCACTTCCCCTGTTTATTTATTTATTTATTTTTCCTATTTATTTTCTGCATATCGCCCACGCTTCTTCTCGTCATAAATCTTACATTCGGATTCTCATTTTGCTCTTGTCTTGTTCAAGGTCAGAAATTTAAAGTGATGGAGAATAAAGGAAAACAAATGAATGAGCAGAACACTTAACACATGCTCTGCTTTCACAGTGAGGGCCTTTTTATCTTCTCATTCATATTTTCAGGTTGGTAAATGCAGCAGGAAGATGTCTTGCAGCACAAATAATTCATTCTGTAAAGTTTTAAGAACCCCAGTATGAACAATACTGCACAGATGAAAGAAGGCATATTTATTTAATGTTCGCGTCAAAGGAAATCTTCTGGTCAAAAATAACTTGATGTCATCGAGAGTAGGTTTCTGGTTAGACCCTGTACAGAAGAAGACATTTATAAAAATATAATAGTATATTATAGTCCGAGTATTTGGTTTGGGTTGGGATGCAAATGTTTGCAGTGTTTTGTAGTAATACTGCTCAAGCAAAGTATCTATAAGGTGAAAAATATTAGTCCTGGGATAGAACAAATCTCCGACACAGGTACTGGATTTACCTCTAATGCATCTTACTAGTCAGTAGGTAATGAGCTAAGAGGGTAAAGTAAAAGGAAGTTAACCAGCTTTTGGTAAAGACAAAGTTTTCTTTTTTCTGATGCACAGATATTATTTTGTATTTGAGATTACTGCCTTGAGTAAGCACATATCTTTGCTATGTTTTATTATTGATATAATGATATCATTACTGGGAGCCGTTACTTGGGCTTTGATCAGAGTAGTAATACTTGGTAATAAAAGAACAAAGTCCCTCTGCCTCTTTCGTTATTATTTTGTCTTGGATTTTTATTTCCTTGAACTTCACTTAAAAAGACATCTCACATCTTTATCATCAGTCTCAGTTGCCAGTTGTGCGTTTGCAGACATCCCCTTTTCCTCTTCTGCATCTTTGCATCTTCTTTTCCGTGATCATGGTTGGGTGGCATGCTCACTGGCATCAGCATGATGCGCTGATCCCTGACACAAACAATAGTAGCACCAAGTTGCTGAGACATGAGATGACAAGTCCAGAGATGACAAAAAAACAAACATTTTTCTTACCTATTTGCATAGTCTGTGGTGTAATTTTCTTAAATCTCTTTTCACTGAGCAAATTCACTGGATTAAGACTTCACACATTGTCTTTTATTATGAAAATGGCACACGTTAACAAAACGCATCCCGATCAGTTAATTAACTTCTCATCAGCCATGAAGTAACGTAATCGGATATGATTTTCATTCCCCATGATTCTCCCTGAATTAGCTGCCACAAAAGTGTTCACTGTGTTAAAGAAAGAACTCATCACGTGAACACAGGTGTAGGTTTTCTGTTTTCTGTCTGTCTTACTGTCATTCCTGCTTATTACTTTACTTCTCTCTGTCTTTCAGGGACCAGCCCACTGGACAGTCCTCGCAACTTCTCTCCCAACACAGCTGCACACTTCTCCTTTGTTCCTGCTCGCAGGTAAGACTTCCATTTATGTGCTAAGGATGTTTGCGTTTGCAGTCACACATGTAAAAAACACAGAAGCGTTGTTGTCCTCAATAAACAAACTGATTGTATTAGTGATCATTAGCTCTTAACAGTTCTTTTCAGTTTTAAGTTCTACAGTACATCAGGAAAAAAATAGAAATAAAGTAATAGATTGCAGATGTTGAGCCCAAATAGATAAGGTGTACTTCATCTTTTAATGTCCGTATCTTTGAAACAGTGTTAAACAACTCAGTGACCTATGAGAGCCCTATGAGAGCTGAGCAGCTGCTGATGTAAATGAGTGTGTGAGCTGATGAGGAGGCAAATGTGTAAATACTATTTTACATATCTTATCTTTAAAAGATCTGTGCTCCCATATCTGTGCCGTGGCTAGCGTATGTTGCTAACTTCCGGGAACTATTGTGAGACACTGTGATCCCTAGCTGTGGTGGGGGGGTTGGAATCTATTTGATTGAACTGAGACTCTCCATTCGAGGACTGAGCCGAACAGGCAGGCTGTTTGCACGACAACGTCATCAAACACCGAGACACTGTGTTTGTGAGGTGCAGCAGCGAAAAGGAGCATTAGTGCTGATTTGAATTGGAAATCCCTCTCTGTCCAGCCGCTGACCTCAGAGCTGCCGCTGCTCAGCACACTGTGGGGTGAGAGGGACACCGTGTGGTGGAGTCTGATATGACGGGCCTACTGTTCCTACTCGCATAAAAGCCTTATTTTATCAGAAACACTTTCATTTAAATGTATTTTTTATTTGGCATTGCATGAAAATAATTGTGCTTGTTGTCATAAAATAAAAAATGCATATGGCTTGCAACAAAAAGTGTGCCACTCTGCATTGCCAACAAAGTATCAGCAGTTACACGTTTTTCTTTATCAGATATGTTTTGTTTGGAAAACCAACTGAGGCAATTTGCATCTATTTTTCAGTCTGTGTGACAGCAATAAAAATAAATAAATAAATAAAAAGAAAACCATTGTCTTGTCTTCTTCACAGCCATGGACACAGGGCTGACAGGTAATGTCTCCATTCTGACCTCTGACTTTTCCGCCTGCCTCTTCCTGCCCTCTGTCCTGCATGACTCAGCACACACACACACACACACACAGCACAAGAGGAACTAACCTTCAAAATAAAAGTGGAACTAAATTGAATGAGGGACAGTCTCGAGACAGACAAGGTGACACGAGAAAAATGAAGACCCCCCCCCAGAACACATAGGCAATAGAGAGAGAGAAAAACAAAAGAGAGAATTACATCCATAAACAAATATCATAATGAACACCACAGGGTTTTGTTTTGTTTTTTTAGAGGAAAAACAAATCATTTTTTAGACATTTAAATAAGTGCTTTTATGATCTTTTTATAAATTTCTTCAAAAATCTCCAGAAGAAGTTTCACTCGTTTTAGCCAAAAGTGTAAAACAAAAAGAAATGAAATACTTGCGAGTCTGACATGTTTAATTGGATTTGGAGCTGAGACACAGAAGGGGTAAGGAGGCACTTCAGGTTTGTTAGGATGAATATTTACTGAAAGTGACAAAAAGCTGGCTAATGTTTGATAACCAGAAGGTATTTGTGAAGTAAAGAATCCGGCTTTTCTGACACAGGATGAGCTGTCGAGTCTGTGAACTCTGTGGTGCTTCTCTTTACATGTGCAAAGTCTCAGTGGATGCTTTTTGCACACATTAGGTTCCATGCTATCTTTCCGCTTCACCTTTTCTTCCACCTACTGTAATACTTTTACTCACTGTATGTGACACTGCTTCATCTTGTTATTCTGGCTGTGGAGAATATGTGGTATTTCACTGAAAATGATCATTGAGTGCTGATGTCTTCATTCATTTTCTTTAATGTTCGCTCTTTGTTTTTAAGGACGGATGGCAGACGCTGGTCTCTCGCTTCATTGCCTTCCTCTGGATATGGCACCAACACTCCCAGTTCCACTGTCTCGGTAAATAAATTCACTATACTCTGTCTATGAATGTATTTGTATGTCTGTTGTAGTGATCTATAGACTCATCCATGAAAACTAAAAACACATACATATTTCACTTACTACAAAGCTGCAAAACTGCCGTAGCCTCCACTGCTGATTCCTTCATTCTGATACCTTACTGTGTACTTCTGTGTCCTACTCTTTTTCTTTCCCTCACTCTTAGGGACATGTCAAATGTCCCACTTGGTCTTATTCTCCTCCTTGTCCTTTACCTTCTGCTGTTCTTTCATCTCCCTTTTTTAAAATTGCACACTTCCTCTGTGGCTCCTGCCTTTAAAATGAGACTTGCTGTGCATCAAAGGCAGCAGGCTGGCTAGGTTGTCTGAGAAGCCGTGAACTTGAGCATCCAGACTAACACAATCATTGTACTAAGAGAGAACCAAGCCCCCCTTCCCTTTTATCTTATTCTGACAAATAAGACCTTTGTTGTGTGAATTTCACCCTAACTGGTGGGTTTTTTTTATGCTGTATGCCCTTTCTGTCACAACCCCAAAAGGATTCGTGCCTCCTACTGAAATCAAACCAGGGACTTTTCACTTGTCTGCTTTAGAAACTCACATTCACTGAAGTTCAGCTTAAAGTTGTTTGGAAAACCTTTCCAGTAGTGGAATTGCAAAACTACATACATTATAATTTGATGACACACAGATTTACAGCTATGCCAAGCACTTCATTCTTCAGTCTTTCCACTCAGTTTTTCTGTGTAGAAACACCAGGAATTCCTGCAAGGACAGACTACCACAAATTGTTCCAGCTAGAGATAATGCTAGAATGTCCTTGCGCCAATTTCCATTTAGAGCACTTTAACTTTTCAAAAATACATCATACAAGCAAAAATAGTTTTAGCCTGTAGTATAATCCTAGCTTAGCTCCCTTCAAACCTTACAGGCATTTCCAGCTTGGAGTAATCTGCTTTTTCTGTCCCTTTCTCCTCTAATGAGAAGGGGACTAAACTTTACTCCAAAGACAAACTCAACCCAGAGTTCTTCTAATCCCAGTTTAGCTCCGGCCTAACTCCTCACTGTAGCTTCAGTGCTGGTTGTAATCTATACTCCGTTTGTGCTCCTCCTCTCACAGTCCTCCTGTTCATCCCAGGAGAAGCTGCACCAGCTGCCCTTCCAGCCCACACCTGACGAGCTGCACTTCCTTACCAAACACTTCAGCTCTGAGAGCATCACAGATGAGGAGGGACGACGCTCCCCCGCCATGAGACCACGGTCCCGCAGCCTAAGGTAGGAGCTCTGGGCTAGCTCACAAGATATACTCTGATTGGATGCAGCAAAATGCCACATGAAACCCAGCCTACGTGTTAGCGGAAAGCAGAAATGAACGATAAAGCAAATGCCCTCCATTTTTCTATAGCTGCTAGAGGCTTCCTGCAAAAGAAAAACCCTTGTAGGGCCCAGATGCACAAACCCTGCTTGCTATTCAAAGAAGAGTTGATGCAACACGTCTCTGCTAAACATGTCTCTCTCAATTTTATTTTACATTCAAAGGGAGCATATCGTTTTCAAAAAGAAGTATAGTTTCTCAGCTTAATCAACCAGTATTATGTCTTTGTAAAATGTACAATTTTACAAACAATGTAGATCTTTTTGCACTTGTAGGTGCAGACCATTCAGATCAAGTCAGTACTTGAATTTAAAAGTAATCTCATAAATGTATCCTTTCTGTCCCGTGATCTAGAGATGGTTTTTCTCACCTTCAATTTGTGTCAGAGAAAGTGATGCAACGTAGCTTTATCAGTCAGTCCTGGATGATGATTGCTCATTTTGAGTGTAAAGTTGCTGGGCCTTCATTGGTCTGTAGAGGAGGCTCACACTGCTGCGCCCCTTCACTTGTGGAGGTCTGATTTTTAAATACAGCATAGCACTAAACTAGCATTTCACATAGGATGAACAAACATTAGCAGACCCAGATTGTGTGTGTATTTGTCAGTCTTAAAAAGGTCACACATATTCTTCTGACTTACCCATGACAGGTGTAAGTGAGAATAGTCCTCACTGTGACACTCACCTGTCAAACTGTAGCTCTGTCAGTGTTGCGTTGTCTTTGGCCGTCTCCAGCCATCTTTGCTTTTTTGTGATTCTATTTCTGTTCCTGGTTGTCAAGAGATACTTTCAGATTTCACCTCATCCTATCATCTACAGATTTTCTGTATCAGTCCTCTTTAAAATTTCCTTGTATCACACACTTGTTTTGACCCCTTCATCTTTATCCCTGTTTCTTTATGGATAGATATCGAATGCTTTCATCCTATGAGATGAAAGCAGGCAATACCAAGTTACATGGTGTGTATCTGATTAGACTCCCGCTGTGTTTAGTGGTGTGTGTGTGTGTTTGTGTGGTTTGCTATCTCAGGTAATCCACCATCAACAGTGTCCCTATGTAACCTTGATATCTCTCCAGTCAGAAAATAAAATGAAATAAAAAGATCTCAGATGTTACATTTTAGCACCAACCTGCTTCTATCAGAGATAAAAGAAGAGCTGACAAGCACAGAGCACTTGCTGACTGTGAGCAAGTTACTTTACTCTGAGGTGACTTTGAAAAGTGTTTCAACTGTGGCTGGTTGTCAGCCCCCCTCGTATGAAGGAGGAGTGAGCCTCAGCAAAACCCTGACATCATATTAGTCTACCAGCAGTGAGTGTCATTAAAAAGCTTTTAATGAGCAGTCTATAGACAATCTACAAGTTCAGAGGAATAGCCAACAGAAAGCAGTAATAATGTGAGGAGTAAATGCAGTTTAAACGTTTGAAAAGGAAACACAAAAAGGTAAAAGAAGAAGAACAATGAAAGAAATTAACTGGAGTCACTGACTGGACCCATCAGACAAAAGAAGGAGCAAGAGAAGAAGAGTATGTGTATTTGGATGAGAGGCCATATAGTGAACATGAGCTGCAAAGCAATAATATATAATAGAATGATCATGATTTTATCATTCTGTTGTAAGGAATGACCTTCACCATTGTTTTTGTCATTCTCTAGCTTCTTTATTAATTTCATTTTTTGCAGAAGCAAAGTAGGATCATAGATCCGTTTGTATTGTTGGGCTGTTAAGACATCATAGCTAAAACAAAATATATATATACCTCATATTTATGTAGTAAACAAGGATGTTTAAATACAGAAAAACATTTTTTTTAAAATTCATATCAGTTTTATACACTCTTCAATCTGTCAGTCATCACCTGGACAGTTTCCATCACCTGAGGGGGCTCCTTCAAGGCTGAGCAGCTCTTGTCTCCTTCCCTTTCACTCTACAGTCTGCAACCATTGGTGAGTGTAGAGGTCAAGCTAACTGATGCAGCACTCCATCATTGCTGCTTCCTTTTTAACAGTCCTTACCGAGCCTGAAGATGTGGCCTGGCTCACTGAATAAATGATGGTCCCACTAAGATCAAACCAGGTGGACTATGTGTCACTGCAGGATCTTTTGGTTGCCACTAAAGTGTCGGCTTAAATCTGACCGTTACTAGCAAAGCCCCCACACAATAACAGCTCCTTCTAAATGATTCATGGTGGGAATGTCACAGGCGGAAACCATGTCTTCTTTTTCTCAGTGTCTGGTAAAGACACAGCAACTGATGAGGGGAGGTGCGCACTACTTAATCTCCGGGGAGCATCTCTGTGACGTCCACACCTTTTTAAGGCTGGTAACTCCAATGAGCTTATACTCGGCAGGCACTGATTCCCTTCTTTGCTCCTCTTTTTCTGAGCCTTCATCATAACAGTATTTTGCTGTTTTTAAGACTGCACTTCAAAAAGCCTTAAGAGGGCTTTTGCTCTTATCTTAGCAGTAGCTTGGATCAGCACACCTGACAGCTTTGCTTTCTTCAGTGTTTTTTCTACACTGTGCGTCCAGACTTTTCTCTGGTGCTTTTATGCTGAGCAAACAGCAAAGTCAGAAATGGTAGGTGACTAATTTATCTGACAATTTAAACTTTAACGAATTTCACGCAATAGAAACAAAGAAACAAATTGCGGGTTATAGATGAAATGTGTACTTCCAAAGAAAGGCTGTATGCAAACACAAAAAGCTAGAAAATATTTTATAATTATGTTTTTTTAATAGTTGAGTTTAAGCAGCTTAACACAAATTGAAATTCGTGACTGGAAACAGAGCCAGAAATTAAATGAAGACAAAGTACTGAAATTACACTTTACATCAATTTTGAAAAGAATTAGCACCACTGTTTTAGGATTCACTAAACAAACAAACCTTCACTGTTCCTTTATCTTTTCATTAGGTTTTAGCTTGGAGGATTTTAATGACATCATCGATGATTTTTGGTGGTGAAGGCACAACGTGCCCCCCTCTCTGTCACGCTCAATTAGGCGTCTTATTTCCCCAAGTCAGACGCCTCAGTTGTGAAGCAGCAATGTTATTTTTCTCTGTCTCGCTCTCTCACTCTCTCTTTTTCTCACACACACACACACACACACACACACACACACACACACACACACACACACACACACACACCAACCAATCATCTCTCCTCCCACCTCACCTCAGCCTTCCCCCAGCCTCACCATCACCGTCTGATTCCCTGTCTCATCTGATTTACTTCAATTATCCTCTGCAGAAATCAGCTCTTTTGCATTTTGAGTGCCTTTTGTCACATGTGGCACCACTTAGAAAGAAAATGGGCCTTCACCCAATGTTTTAATTATCAAATTTCATATCTTTCTGAAAGTATAAGTGCTAACTTTCGAACTGCAGCCCCACACTAAAACAACTGTCCCACAGTTTGCTCCAATATCTCTTCTCCAAGGTCATTTCTCAGAGTAATGACTAAGACGATTTTCGCAGGGATTGCCGCGAGGCAGGTTTTATTTCCCATTACCGCAGAAATATAGCCAGGTTCTAATTAGCCTTTGTCTGGCTTTCTTATGTTATTCATCCAGAGGATTTCACTCTGGCGTCCGCTACCGCACACTGAATGGGAGATTTATTTTAATATCTGCTCAGGCTGCTCACAGGCATGAGCGCCCAACAAGAAGAACACAAAGAAGACACCAATGATATACTGTGAAAATTAAGAAAGTGCCTCAGGCTGTTTTGGACAAACTCCACCTCCTTTACTTACTGAGCCCTGTGGCAGAGCTACAGCTTTTGATTGATTTTCTCTTTCCTTAAAGGCACACGGACATTAAAGAAGTGCTTAAAGTTGAACATGTTATCGCATCAGGTGATTGACGTACATGACTAACAATTGCCTTTGTTAGTCATGTACGTGCACGTATTCTAGCCTTTTTCTTTTTGTAAAGCATCAGTAAACCCGAATTCTGTCTTATTGCTGTGCCGTTATGTCACAAAGACAGTTTTCTTTCATCAACTAGTTGAAAACACATCTTCCTTCTAGCTTTTTCAATTTTAAGCTGTTAACAAATTCAACAGTCCCTGCAGATGTTTCACAATGAAGCAGTGAAAAGGAAGGATGAGGTCCTATTCAGTTAAATGGTAAATGGCCTGTATTTATATAGCGCCTTACTAGTCCCTAAGGACCCCAAAGCGCTTTACATATCCAGTCATCCACCCATTCACACACACATTCA